TATATATATATATATATATAATTTAAATTGAAATACCATTTTAGTGATAATTTAATTATATATATAATTGTAATCTTTTCAAGCATTATCATTTTAATTTATATCTACATTTGTGTATGCAATGTGTATGTGGTGATTTATTTTAATTTATACCATGGTCTGTTTGAATACTGGATTCTGATTGGTTGGCAGGTGTGCATTAAAACCCTTTAATGCACAGGTAGTTCCAAGTCAGTTTAATCACCGTTCTATATTAATGTGCTGCTTTAATTGATGCGCACACACACACACAGAGAGAGAGAGAGAGAGAGGTTGGAGATCGCAGATTGTGCTGTGCGCACACAGAAACTTGTCAGCGCTTCCCCGCGACTTTCATTTAAAAAATATCCTAGATACTAGATAGCTACATTATATTCCTCAGCAACAAGGTGGTAAAATCACTGTTTTTGAAGAAATTAAACACAGTTTAGTGGATTTGTGGATAGACGCGGGTAACACACACAACTCTCATTTTCTGTCATTTTTACCCATCCGGTCAAATGTTGCACTGCAAACAATAACAGCTTTAACTTGTCAATGCTGGAAAATGATGAAGGTATTAGCGGGATAATGCATGGCTAGCTGTGCATTAAACGATTTCGCGTCGGGTGGTTCTTGGCCTCCACGTCGTGCATTAAAATAGTTTAATGCACAGCTAGCCATGCATAATCCCTTACATAAATGTGTGTATGTGTGTGTAAATATAAATACATTTTAATGATTATTAGCAATGCATATTACTAATCAAAAATTAAGTTTTGATATATTTACAGTAGGAAATTTACAAAAAAATTTCATGGAACATGATCTTTACTTAATATCCTAATGATTTTTGGCAAAAAATAAAAATCGATCATTTTGACCCATACAATGTATTGTTGGCTATTGCTACAAATATACCCGTGCTACTTAAGACTGGTTTTGTGGTCCAGGGTCACAAATGCTTGTGTCTCACGATCAGTGACTGAGATTGAAACTTTTCATGGAAACCCCCCTCCCGCCTACATGTCACTGCTAAATCACTATGTGTGTCTTCTCTATGACGTTGCGAGGCTAAGCATTTTGTGTTCAGTTACGTGAACTCAGTTTCTTCTCTTCTGCAGGCACAGTCCATTCAGGCAGCACAAGACCAAAGACAAACATGAGATCGACCGCATGACTCTTACCATGGTGAGAAACCAAAGCGGCGTCTTTCTGTGTTGTTTGTCTTTATGTACCTTCACACATGATCACGTTTATATGAGAGCGCTCTGATTTAAGTTTCTTGGTGCAGGATGAAAAATCCCATCAAAAAATTAGGCCAGGAACTACCTAGAAGATCTTAGCAACCACCCAGTTCTTAGTTATAGCTTTAAAAACTTCAATTGAATCTTATCTACAAATGCTGTAACAGTTCAAACTGGTGATTAACAGATAGTGCTGTGAAACAGGAGATGGATAAATGAGCCACAACTTTCCATGGAAGTGAAGAGGGAACATTTCATCACAGTAGCACCTGTGCGTTTACACCCACTGTTTAACAAGGGAATGCTAATGGAGAGGAATTTGCATCCACGCCTTGCATTTACTGTCCTCCTCTCAACCATCACAGTAATTTAGTCCTCATCGAGCTGCCATGCTCTTGACTGTTGTATAGTCACTAGAAAGGAAGTCACTTGTTTTTAATGCTGATTTTGTGGTTTCCCTTCAAAATGAAGACACAATTGAGCTGCCTACTTAGGCGTCAATGATCCCAAGGCAAAATTGTGCTACTTTCTGAGACATCTTGTTTTGATTAAAAGGAAAAGCAGCCCCAGTCCAAAAATACATTGCAACTTAGCGGATGAAGTCAATGCAAATGTCAGTTATGAATGTATTTTTTATTCTCGTTAGAGTATCAAATAGCTTGCTCAGAAACATGTCAGACTTTATTTTGCTGCCCATGAAAAATCTAGTCAGAAATCGGCAGAAAAAGCTTTCAATGTCCAAGCAGATGTTCACCCAGACGTTAAACCGTTTTCCTCTGACCAGCAAGATGATCGTGTTTTGTTTATGAACTGGAACACAAAGATTATGGGCCAAGACTGAGTGTTCAGAGGTCTTTTTTTTTTTCATAATTTCCAAAAGTAAATCTTTTTTTTTAATCCTGGTGAAATAAAAGCTGTTCAGTGGACGCAGAGCTATTTTGGCACAATTTAGCTATTAAGGTTTGTTTTTGGATGCCAACCTCACAGGGACAGATTTCATTAGTCAAGGATTTAGAAGGTAAGTTGTACTGCTTAATGTTTTTTGGAAACCATTTTTTCAGGGTTTTCTGATGAAGAGAAAGTTCAAAATAACATTTATTTGAAACTGTAATGTTTTATAACATTTTAAAAGGGTTATATAATGCTACATGCACTTTTACAAGTTGTTTGAACTGAAATGTGTGTTGGCAGTGTGTGTACACAACCACCCTAAAATGATAAAAATCCACCCAGTGGTTTTTTGTTAATCTACTAAAATCTTTACCCCTTTCTCAAATCAAGCCGATCTCAGATGCCTGTCTGTGTGACTGTCATCAGTCCGCCATTGTTTCACTGCTGGAGCAGATGTAGACAAGAATGACTCCTAACAAGCGACTGAGGTGTTGTTGGATGTAATAATGAACATAGCAGTCCTCATTTACTACTGACACCTGAGCCGGTGAACTTGCAGTGGATTACATTTGTTTCTGAAGGGAATGTGCCCCTGATCTACCTAAATGCGTATATGTTCGCGCGAATCATTCATGATCTAGCCTCATCTACAGAAGAAGTGAGTGTAAGGTTTTTTAATGAATATTTGCAAATCGCCTTTCTTAATAATGTGCTAATTAGCAAGTTTCACGATGAATACAGCTAAAGTAAACAGTCTGTGAGAGCAGCTCGGAAGAGAGGGGCGGGGTCAGCATAGCTCATTAACATTTAAAGGAAAATGCTACAAAAACAGCTTGATCTGAAAAGAGCTGTTTTTGACAGGGTAAAAAAGGTGTTTTTTACACTACCATTGAGAAATTTTAACCAAACTATGTTACAGACTTTTCATTAAGACCCTAAAGAATCATATCAACTTGTGGAAAATGGGCATCCTATGACCCCTTTAAATGTATTTACTGTCGTAAATCAGTTTTAGGTGTCCTCCTTGTATATACGTATCAAAAAGAAATCTTACTGACCCCAAACTTTGGAACAGTACTGTATACAGTACATTTTGCATTGAGTGAGGAACTGAAGACCAGAATATTGTTGAGACTTGAAGCTGGACTCTTGACTCAAACACACTCGCAAGTACAGCAACAAGCTACCACTCAGAAAACCTTAGCATCTATAATGCAATGCCCTGTTATTTAGTTCAGTGTTATGGTGAATGTACCTGACAGCCTGAACTGAGTGAAGTTTATTTGTCTGCATTTACTGGGACTTTGGTGAACGTTGACCTTGATTTGAATGCGCAGTTGGCACTGCCTATTACGTAAGAGAATTGTTTTGGTTGTCCTCACATTCATTTGTATGATTGTGAGGATATTTAAATACCGCTAAGCACTCTGTACTGTTAATGCTCTGTTGATCTAGATGGCTACTGGAACGTTTGCTGTTCCTGCATATTTGCATTTTACTAATGAATGTTTAGTGTAACTGATGGGGAAAGCTAATGAAACAAAAGCAAACATCACGTGAAAGTCAAACACCAGCCGACATGGCATAAAGTCATGTTTATCGAGATATCAGTCAAGCTCATGAGCCGCTTCCTGTTCCTTCTCTCTCATCAGAATGTGGAGTTGCCTGACTCCTTCTCACCTGAGCTCAAGTCCCTCTTGGAAGGACTCTTACAGCGAGACGTCGCCAAAAGATTGGGGTGTCTAGGACAGGGGTAAGTCAAAATCTGTAATACTTAGACATTTTATCAGATGTGTATTTGGTTTGTAGTGAACTATCCAAATGAAAAAAAAAAAGTTTTTGATGCCACTTGTCCAAATGAAGTGGCAGTCTGAAATCTTTTAAACTTATAAAAGACAGAAGGACATGCTGGGAATTATTTGCAGCTCGTTCTGAATTGCTGAGACCTGCTGGTCAAAAGTGGTGATAGTTGATAATAAACCCTATTTTTCCTGCATACATACAATATACTCATGCAAAGCAATTATAGAGGACTATGTAGCAAATCTCAATTTATTTTTGTTGCAAACTAACTACATTATCACCCATCTCTTTAAATAAAGTTTGATATACAAGTATGTCTAACTTTATCTGCTTACATACAATATACTCATGTAATGCGATTTGTACTGTATATCATTGCAGCATGCAAGCTATATTATTGTCCAGCTCTAATCTGCTAAATGCAACTATAAGACATGCAAATGTTAAGATTTTAGAAACATCAACATCATGATTTTCTGTAAAGCTGCTGTGAAACAATGTGTTGTGTGAAAAGCACTTTACAAATGTATTTGACTTGAATGTGATCGCTTTTATGCTCTGTAGGGCGTCAGAGGTAAAGGAGCATGTGTTCTTCAAGGGAATCGATTGGCAGCAGGTCTATCTTCAGAAGGTGAGACCTTCGACCTTGTTTTCGGTATCAGCCCTGTTGAAGTACTCGTATCATACACTCTGATAGAATAAGACGTTTTGTGTAATTGCAATTTATAACTGATCTGATTTAGAGTCCAGATGATGGACTAGTCATTCAGTAATCGATTAGCAAGCCTCAGATTTGTTCTTTTTAGTGGTGCTGCTTTAATAGGAATGAATTTAGATGAACATCATTGTGGAGAGTGTGTTAGAGTGCTGACAGTGGCTGTTAGCATACTAAAATCCTCTCTAGGAAGTTGTGACTCTAATTTAATTCCCTTTACAGCACCATTGGAACCAGCATCAAAGCACAAAGCCAAGCCTTCAATGATACATTTTCATAAGACAATTACTGTCAGACCTCAAATCACTTCCTGTGAGCAGTGTTCCCGTTAGTGTGCACAATCTGTAGATCTCTGTGTTATGAGGACTATAATAGTTTTCTGAAATAAAAGGTCATTGAGCTTGTGGAGTGCAACAGTCAGGCTCTACAAGTAAAAGGTCCATTCATTTTATCCATAGGACAACTGATTTTAAATGATAACTTAATAACCTTTGAAGAAAGACTTACTGTGAGTTTAGAGATTGTAATTCAATGGTGTATGCATCCATTCACATTATTTTAATATATATTAAGTTTGTGTTGAAAAACTACATTACCCATGTTGCTGTACAGAAAATTTCACCAATCAGAGAGTAACAAATCATGCCAAAAGATCTTGCTGGGAACACTCATGTAATCGTAATTCAGTCAGACTCATTATGCTGTTATATAATGTATATAATCAAAATTTTTAAATGATCAGTTTTATAATCCTCCATCATTTTGCAAGATGAACTAGTTCATTTTGAAAATGTTTTTTCTCTGCATCTTTTGTTTGGTTGCAGTACCCCCCACCCCTCATTCCCCCCAGAGGAGAAGTCAACGCTGCAGACGCCTTTGACATCGGCTCCTTCGACGAGGAGGACACCAAGGGAATTAAGGTAAAAACCAGTAACCGTGGGACCAAACTTTTCACTTATTCCACTTGGTGCTCAAGGCTGATGTCTTTGCTTCAGCTCAGTGACCATCAAAGTGGACTACTTAGTTGGTCTTTAAGTGGAGCCTAGATTGCGTCCAGCACTGAGAGAACCGTATAAAATCTAAGAGCACTTGAGCTTGTGTCTCATGCTTCAAAAACTGGAGGAATTTTCCACAATGCTGTGAGCATGTTAAATGACTCCCTAATAGCCAGAATTTGACTTCTAGCATAAAGTCTGGTCTACATTGCAACTTTATCTCTGCCCACTTAGACAAGATGAGACTGTCTGAATTGAAAATAATTGTAGTTTTTGTCCCTCTCCTTTTCAGCTGCTTGACAGTGATCAGGAGCTCTATAAGAACTTTCCACTGGTGATCTCTGAGCGCTGGCAGCAGGAGGTGGCCGAGACGGTGTATGATGCCGTCAATAGCGACACGGATAAGAACGAGGCGCGCAAGCGGGCCAAAAACAAGCAGCAGGGCCATGAAGAGGGTGAGACACAGCACATAAATTGTTGTATTTATTCTGCACATTCCCCCCCCAAATTCGCATTAATGTATGATGGCTTATTATTCAAATATTATTTTAGATTTTATGTATTTATGTACTATTTATGTTTTGATATACACTGTCATTCAAAAGTTTTGGGTAAGTGCAATTTTTAATGTTTTTTTAAAAAAGTTTGTTTATAAAGGCTGGTATTTATTGGATCAAACAGTAACATCAGTAATATTGTGAAATATTATTACAATTTAAAATAACTGTTTTCTATTTTACTTTATTTTAAAATATAATTTATTCCTGTAATTGCAAGCTGAATTTTCAACATCATTACTCCAGTCTTCATGTACTCCAGTCACATTATCCTTCAGAAATCATTCTAATAATATGCAGATTTTTTTCAGGATTCTTTGAAAAGAAAGTTCAAAAGAACAGCATTTACAGCATAATTAAAAAATTCTTTTGTAATATTATAAATGACTTTCCTGTCACTTTGGATCAATTTAGAGCTAAAAGAATGTATTTAAAAGTATATATATATATATTTTTTTTTATTCTTACCCCAAACTTTGAATGAAAGTGTAACTGTAATATTTTTTTATATTGAATTATTTTTAATTTTGTATATTTTATAGTTAGTTTTTTTTATCTATAGCCAAGTATTTGGTTTTGAATCTTGAAATATAGCCCCGATATTGCTTTGTGAAATTTGTCCAATAATAAGCTAACATATATTTATAGCAGCGCTTCCTGTGCAGTGAATAGATATTTAGTAGATTATATTTCTTAGAGAAATCTTTTCATATACACAACATTTGTGACTAGTGAGAGGTGTCATGGCAATGTACACAGAACAGCTGGTTGCAAAATGCTGTTTGCAAACATCCTGTTTGCTCCTATTCATCAGACTCTCATTTTCTGACTGTATTTTGGACTTCCAGAAGGTCACGAAACCTAATGAATGGCCGCTCCAGGCGTCTTGTCGTCTGCAGCACTCGGTCATTTACCCATGTTTTAAGCCGGTCCAAAAGATCATGTTTTCTGGTAGAAACTACAGAATTGACAAGCAGTAATTTCACACAGTGGTGCCGAGAGAAGAAAATGGCCTCTGCTACGGTAGTGCTACATTCTCCAGCATGAATTAAAGGCCTGGACTGACGTCAGCTAATCGGCTTTCACGGGTCCAGCGTCAGTTCCGTTAGCGACCTCGAGGAGAGGCCTGAACCCTACGTACTTGTCATGCAGTGCTGGTGCCACATGCTTCCCTCAAGGGAAAGACACAGAACCCATCACATGACCGACTGTGTGGGTCAGAAATAGATCTGAAAAAGCCCGTGTAATTTAGCAAACACTGAGTTAATCGTTTGCGTCATGACCCCAGGATACGAGCACGGGAGTCGTTAACAGGAATTCAAGTGGGTTAAATCAGAGAGAGAGAGTTAAAAGAATTGATGACCCAGCATTTATTCACTGTCATCTCTTTCCAAATGTGACTTTCTTTACAAAAAATATAATATGAATTAGAATGTCCCAAAGATGCTGAATTTGAAGTTAATGCAATTATTCCAAAATGGCATTGAGTGTTATGTGACTGCGTGTGTCTGTGGTGTTTGTGCAGACTATGCGCTGGGGAAGGACTGTATCATGCACGGCTACATGCTAAAGCTAGGAAACCCCTTCCTGACACAGTGGCAGCGGCGGTATTTCTACCTGTTCCCCAACCGCGTCGAATGGAGAGGTGAAGGAGAGTCTCGGGTGAGTGTTTTTGTGTGTTTTGTTTGCTCTAAGCATCTGTATAAAGGGTTAAAAGGCCATTTTTTGCAAATGAACATGCCTGTGTGTCCCTACGCTGTAGGAACATTGGACTAAAACATAAAAAAAACGTAAATTCAAGGTGAGTCTGGTGCATTTTAGCTGATTTCCCCTCTCCTTTAAATTTCATTGTTCATTGCAGAGCAGGAAATATCAAGATTTTGTAAACCCTACATCGTCCTCCACCCTGCTCCAAAATTCCCATAGTGACACAGGTTCACCTGCAGCCTAAACCATTGAGACACCCACCTCTCCTTTTAATATCCTCTGCTTCTTTCCACTGCTAAACCAAACCTCAGTCTTCTCCCATCCGGAGGAAGCGTTTGCGCTCAGATCTGTGTAATGCAGAAGTAGGTCACTGCAGGTTCCTTGGGGCAAGAGAGTTTCTGTCCTGATCTGTAACTAAGATAAAGAAGTGCAGATTTTGCCAGTTTCCTGCATTTTTAACTCCCAAAGTCCCTGAATCTTCGATCTGAAGGGTAAATGCACTTCCTGTGGAACATGTTGGAGAGGAGATGCATGGAAAGGGAGGCCACTCGCAAGTCAGATTGGCAAGCAGTGATGCTTATACTTGACTACATTGTAGTTGTTCTGTTTTCTCAATTTTAGAGAGCCAGTCTGGCTTTAATTGTCATTCATTCATTATTTATTTGATTTTAAAGTTCTATAATGTTTTTGAACTTATGTCAGACTCAATTCATTCATTTTTAATAAATTTTATGTATGGTCAGTTTTGCACCCATCCTGTCTGTTTCAAATAAAACTTGTTAATATTATTATTGTTTTTAATTTAATATTAATTTCACTGGATTATACAGAAGTAGCCATTGTGACATGATGATTTAATATTTAAAATAAATATTGTTGTATAATTACAGTAATATAAAATTTTTATCATACAGCCCAACCTTAGTATATGTAATATTATGTAATAATATAACACTGTAATAATCAGTACATTCCTAGTTTTTTATGTTCTAATACAGTGTATTTAAAATAATTTTCTATTCTAACAGCTGGAAAAAATTAACAAATGTTTATTTTATTTATTCATTTTTATTTTTACTTAAATTTGAATTGACTACTATCAATGCCATTTTATATATACTGTATAAATATATATATATATATATTGGAAATATTTATTTTTTAAAAATATATTAGAATAAGTAAAGCAAAATAAATATAAATTATAATATAGTTTTAATTTACATTTTTATAATTATCATTAAAACATAAAATTAAACAACAATATATAGTATTATAAATTTCCTGTTCTCTCACACCAAAAAATGGTCTGAATTACTAGAAAGGTCCACGGAGACTCCAACAGCACGAAGCTCATTGTGAATCGTTTACGATGCTGAGCTAACCTGACAGACGCTGATCAATAATCAGCTACGCCTGAATTGCAAACACAGGTTACAGTGTCAGTTCAGCTGTGAAACAGATCAATTTTATGAAATGACAAATTAATTCTATGTTTTATATATATATATATATATATATATATAAAACATAGATATAAACACAGAATTAATTAGTTTGTTTGTCATTTCATAAAATTGATCTGTGCATCCCTAGCTTTATGTTGTTATACAGTGTTATTTGAAAATCGTTTCATGTTCTCGCAGCCGAACAGTGAACTAAATGCTTCTTAGGAAAAAACACTGGATGTCTAGTCTTCACACAGAAGCGCACTTTAAATCAAGGTCTTTAGAAACCAGACTGAATGTGGTACGTGTCATTTAGAGGGAAAACATTTGTACAGAAGTGAAATGACTTCCGTTATCCTCCAGTCTGATGGGAATCAGGTATCCGCGATCAGACGGTTACATGAGATGCTGTGTCTGCTGCCCGCTGTACCACAACTGACTCATTGAGTACAAGAACAGCTTGTCATCCGTGTCTTTGCTCCCTCGTAGCCCCAGACAACCTCTAGAATTTCTACCACAGTGTAAGTGACGCCGATAGATGCGTATACCTCAAGCATAGGGTAAAATCCCAGCCATACAGAGCTAGCAGGTAGCATGGAGTGTTCCTCTTGAACACAGTAGGATAATCTGTGAGAAGACTCTTACAGGAACGCACTAATTAGTCTTTCCTCCCCCAGCAAAACCTGCTGACCATGGAGCAGATCGTGACTGTGGAGGAGACGCAGATCAAGGACAAAAAGTGCATCCTGCTGAGGATCAAAGGAGGGAAACAGTTTGTCCTGCAGTGCGAGGTAGGGCACCTTCATGCTGTTCTCTGGTCTCGTTGAGGGATTCCCTCTTCCCCTTTTCTTGCATGATCTTGCTTCACTTTTATTGTTCCCTATGCCTCTTTTTCAAACTCTTGTGAGTGTTTTATTATAAATTAATACATGAGTTAATGTAAAAATAAATCAAAAATTCAATTTTAACAAAATTCACACTTTTACTATTTAAATAATATCATATATGAGATTCAATATTGTAATCAATAATAATACACAATTAATAATGAATATTACATAGTGAATGTTACTGTTATTTTATGGCCTTGCTTTTCTTAGAAAAGAAAACTTTGGTTTCAGTCACAAAAATAAGGCAGAAAATGTAAAGCACTGCCCCTGCGGTCTGCTTATACACGATAATGTTACATTTATTGAGATTAATATAATTAATAATATACAATTAATAATAAATGGTACCTAGTGTTTGTTACTGTTATTTTACAGTCTTTTTTCTCAAAAAAGAAAAGAAAACTTTTGTTTTAATCACAAATATAAGGCAGAAGAGCTAAATCCTTGCCTCTATTATGTATTTTATATATGATCATATAAAATAAAATTATTTAATTTACTGGATTATGCAAAAGCAAGCCATGACAACATGGTTGTTTATTTTTCATTTATTTATGGTTTTTTTTTTTTCAATAAATAAATAACCACAGTACCAGTACCACAGTATATACTTTTGGTCATGTTGCCCAAACTTCCCATGTGTTCCCTTATGTTTGCTCTTGTGTTACTTCCTACTTTTTCAGAAAAAGTAATGCACAGCCTTTATGGAGTTCTTATGTGTGATATTAAATAAAAATATTTAATTGACTAGATAATCCAATAAAGATGGATTGTGCAGAAAAAAGCAGGGCCTCTGTGGGTTCTGTGTGTGCTGCTATGAACTTCTGTTCTAGAAAACTTCCTTTATCTTTTTGAGTCTGTTTTGTGGGAAATATTTTTTCCCATCTGCGCAGGAGCCGCATCAGAAGTGCATGTTCGTGCATTTGCAGTCCTTAGCGAACAATAATCTGAAATGAAACCTCATAATGTGCTGATTTGAAATGGTTTTTACGGGCAGCTCATGCCATACAAATATCTCTCACATCGAGCCTTAAGCTCGATTGATTCCAATCCAGTTTGACTTTTGCATGCTAATGATACTCTAGGCACAAAAGCATTCCAAAATATTGGTGCAAAATACATTGAATAAAATAGTTTCATTTAACTCCATGAAGTGGCTTTCACAATGCAGTCTGGTATTGCCTTATCCACAAAAGAAAGACATTTTCTGCAGTATTTTAAATTTTGCATCCAAAAGTGCTGACTAGGTAGCTCACTAGCATTTAAAAGTTCTTGATATATTAAAAAATCATAAAGCAGCTGAGACTGAATTGCTAATGTTATTTTACTTCTCACAGAGCGACCCAGAGTTCGTACAGTGGAAGAAGGAGCTCACCGAAGCGTTCACAGAGGCCCAGAAGCTGCTGCGTCGTGCCCCCAAAGTCATTGGCAAGGGGCGAACCAATGTGGTGGAACTGTCCAAACCTCCGCTCGCGCACCGCAACAGCAACGGCCTGTGAGCCGCCCACCTCCCGCCGCCCTTGTCCACCACTCTTCTCCATCCTCTTCATCGACACACACATGCACATGCTCTCACACTCTCTCTCTCCCAGCAAAACGCTTGTCCAGCACCATTAGGCTTCCCAACCGGCACAGTGAGCCGCCATATGGTCCGTCTCGGAAGGTTCTGCTGCACTGTGCCCTGCTGTTCCTCAACTGTTCGTCAATCAAATGCACACACACACAGTTCCTGGGGTGTTCTGCAGGATAATGTTAAAAAACAATCGGTGATGCCAGTGCTGAAACTGGTCGTTTTGACCAGTGGAGCAGGCTGGGATACTGCGCCCCTTTTGTGAGCATGTCGTTCCTTCTGTGATCCCCACGTTCTCCTTGCACACGCCGGCATGCTCGTATATTAGCAAAGAAAGAGGCCTCTGCTGTAACAATGTCCACTTGGAGCTTCTCTTTCAAGTGGCAGTGTACTAGAGCCGGACAGTATCAGTACCTCTGCTAGAGGGAAACTAGAGCCATGCGGCCTGAGAGATCTAATCAAATGGAAACAATCTCAAAAAACAATGGCTTAAACGATATCACTCCCGTTGTCTTTCATGTCCTTTGTGGGAACGCCAAGGCCACCTCACTGACTGCCATTCTTGAAGCATATGCTTTGCACCACTTTCTGTCAACATAGTGGGCGCATAGCATGCATGCCGTTTTATGCTAAACGGACTCGGATTTGTGGACTGTTGTGGCACCCGACCTTCAGGACGAACTTGTAAAGTACAGAATTCTTCGACACTTCCTTAATATTCGCTGACGGATTGAACGAACTGCAACGGCGAGTGTTGTGCACATCCAATTTGAGCTCTCAGAGGACTACGTACAGTGTAAAAATTAAGGAGCGTTTTTCTTTCTGTCTTTTATTTTTTTGGTGCTCAGCCCTTGTAAACAACAAACTTGGTTGTGCGTGTACACGATGCAAAAAGTAGGTGTTGTCGCTTTAAAGGAAATTCCCCGATATTTTCACCAGGAAGAATTGTTTTCTTTCACCTTGAATGTATTTTTGTTTCTCTTTTTTGTTTGTTTGTTCGTGGGTGGAGTGATTTACGCTGCTTGACACAATGGGTAGGAACGTGGCGGGACGTTTGCTAAGACACGAACTCAACCCCTCCCCCTAAACCCACAGAAGTGCAAAAAGTGCCAATGAAATAAACGTTCGACTTGAGACACCTGAGAATTCCTCGAGTCCAGGCCGCGTCACCTCCATCTCCCTGTGAACGGACCCCGAGAACAGTGTTGGAAACTGAACGCACAGAATAAAAACTGAACTGCAGACCTCCAATCGCGTACAAGGACGCCAATGGACGGTTGACGATGCATGGTGTCTCGTTAGAGGGACCACTTGGAAAGAAAAAAACAGCAGCAGCATCCCTGGAGTCTTTTATCCGACTGTATATATGAATCCTTTCTCTGTGCATCTACAGTATAATCTTGGTGGCACCTCCGCCAGTCCTAAATATCCATGTTTTATTCAGGGGTTTTATATTTTATTTTAACGGTAGCTTTTCAGTCACTTCGTCAGTGTTTGCTTCATTCAATTGCTTGTGTGTCTGTTCCGTAGCGGTGAATTTTGTGTGTGGGCGAACGCAGGTTTCGAAACGCAAGAGGGCGATTGATAGGAAGGAAAAAAAGAAAAACATGCTAACAAAAATCTAAGTATATATGTGTATATGAAATGAAAACAAATGAGCTTAGGTTTATTTAAAAGACTTTACGACGTAGACACAAAAAAATTGACTCGGGAAGGGATCGGGTTCGATGTGAGTTCAACTATTTGTGGTGAAGAATCAGCTCAGATCTTGCACATAAAAGTTTAGATATTGTACCTACGAGTTACAGATGATTATTTTTGTTCGTTTAATACTGGTCTCTCTTGCTCTCTTTCATATTTATTGTCTGGTCGGGGAGCTAGTCCCTCTGTGCGTTGGTTTACCTAGAGCACGGAGCTGTCAAATATCCGGGTTTACAGTCAACCGTAACTCTTTTTCATGTGCCACAAACAAATGCAAATACTACTGTCTGGGGTTATTACCGTTACAGTTATGATGATGATGATGATGATGATGGTTATAATAATTATTGATAATATTATTAAATGAATGATAATTGTTATTAAAATTATTTTCTTTTGTTTTTCAGAACAGCTAGGAACATGTGTGTTGGACTGCTTATAAAAACAGTTCAGAAATAAAAGCCCCTTTTTCGTGTTGCCATGCCTGTTGTCTCCATGCTTTCAAGCCGCTTCATTTTGGGATTTATCCTGTTTGTATCAGAACGAGGACACTCGTTAGATTTAAACTAACTCTTCAGTATGAGATTTATAAACTTAAACCTCCATTAGCCAACTTTCAGGGCATGTTAAAGCCATTTGGAGGGACTGCGGCCAAGTCTCCTCACTGGAGCTCAGTGTGATTGAGCAGTGCATTAGTGTTCTGGAGTAAACACTCCTCTCTTGGACATCCTTCTCTATCCTGCAGCTATAATCAAAGCTCAAATGATTCGAAGGGTTCTTGAGGTTTATTATCCTCGTCGTATTGTAATATCTGTCCTTGTTTACTTCTCTGAATGGGAAAAGGCTAAATAGTGTTTTAAACTGCACCGGCCTTGAAAGTATTTGGACACTCGCAATGTCTAAATGTCATTAGATAAGAAAATCAAACCGAGTGGCATCTGTGCTCAAATGCTGCTAGCCCTGTTGATTAGTTTTTCATAAACAGTTTGTGCTTTCTGTAGAGTAAATGCTGTTATGCAATTACAATCATACATTTTTAAAGTCAACATGAATTCAACATTTTTTTCATGCATTTGTAATGTTATTTTGTCAGTGATTCCAATGAAAATGTCTATAATATAGTGTAAACACTTGAATCTGACTATTTGTCTATAATCAAGTGTAAACACTTGAATCTGACTATTTTCTCAATTGGATTAGAAAATACTTTGCACGCATGTTCAGTGACATAATACACAGAATAGAATAGAATATACTTGTATTGTCCCAATTTTGGGAAATTTGTCATGGACTTAAAGGTGCCATAGAATGGAAAACTGCATTTACCTTGGCATAGTTGAATAATAACAGTTCTGTATGAGCCTCAAACACCATTGTTTCCTCCTCATGTAAATCTCGTGCATGCAAAAGACCACTGAAAAATAGGTGAATCAAAACATAACACCGACTGTGACGTAACAGTTGGGATCACTAATAGTTACGCCCCCGACATTTGCATATACCCCTGTCGCTCGGCTCGGCTAATGTCCGTCCCATGCACTGAACGCGCTCTCCTCCACATCACGAGTAGACACGCCCCTTATTGCTGATTGGTTACAAGTTTGTTTTGCTATTCGGCCCGAATCAGTTTTCTAAAGTGTTTTTGAAAAATCACATACCCTGCCTTTAAATGGCATAGCCAGCAATCAACACCCACAACACAAATCACATAGTTCAAAACAATACTAAATAACGAAACAATCCAAATAAATTACAACCTACTACATACAAAGTCTTAAAAATCCCAAATTTTGAAATTCTCTGTGTAATAATTCAACTGACTTTGGCACAAAAGATTTGATTTACACGCTGGAATTCTAAATTGTCTCCTCAAGTTACAAGATTCTCATTTAAAATGTGTTGTTAGGTAAAGTTTTCTTGGCTTGTTTTATTGTAGATGCCTCATACAACTAATACATCTCATGTCATGTGAACTCGGTGGATAAATATTTGCTAAAAAAAAAGCCTGTTTATGTAATCAACGGTAATTATACATGCTGTAGCTCTGGTGACGACATCCACAGCGACTGGGAACTAGCATGTGCTGAAGTGTTTGAAATGCATGTAATGCACATGTGAACAAATATGTGAATCATATCGTAGTGCTTATTCCTTTCAGAATCTTCCAGTGTGAAATTGATTTAACAGATGATAATCAAGTCCGCTAAAGATTACGTTTATAATCTGGAGATCATCTTGAGATCAAAATGATTGTATGAGATATTCCTCCACAACGGCTCCGCTCGATCCTTTCGAAAACCGCAGTATCCATTGGCCTCCGGCGGTTCCTCCCAGAGATCCTGACTGTGCTGAGACGCTTGTGTCCTCTCTCTAATTCTCTCTGACACCTCCTCCCAGCTGAGTCTGTCCATCAAACCGCCCCGCCAGTCATTAGCAAGCCTGCGGACGCTTGACTTGTGTGCTTTTTCTAGCCGTTTCCAGCACTGCTTTCCCAGGTTTGCATCGAGACGGATTTCCAACGTCCAAATGGGGTCATTCTGGACGTCCAGCCTTGACTAAGTGTTCAGAAACAATGCTGCCAATGTAATCCAGCATGTTTTGAAATCATCCAAATCAGACGACGCATCCAGTTGGATCCCCAGCGTGTTAAAGTCTAAATAATGTCCCCCTGTTTACAGCACTCAAGTGTTTCCCAAACAGGGTAGTATGTCCCACCTCTTCCAGCCACGGGATATTTATAGCCGAGTCTTGTGTTAACTCAGCTGCCATGCTTATCTCTCTCTCTCTCTGTGTGTGTGTGTGTGTGTGTGTCCTGCCACTCTATTTCAGATTGTAGCTTCACCCTCTCAGAGACAGTGAGACTGTGTACCTTGCTTTTGGCCTCTTAGTTTTCCCCCGGAGTTTCACGCATACATTTCTCTCATTGGATATATTCTTCCACTCCATTGAGGAACCATCACAAGGTATGCCTGTTGGTTTTTCATATCGACTCCCAAATCTGTTCTTTTTGTAGATACTGTGATTTATGTATGGATCCCAGACCCTCACAGACACCCACGTCCCGTACGGCCGGGGTCTGGTGTTCTCCTTATGAGATTAAGGGACGTTGAGCCATTCGTCTAGGCCCGGAAGATGAGTGGTGTGTTCTGGTTGGGAAATGAAAGGCCTTGCGTTTGACTAAACGTGGCGCTGACTCCTGCTGAAATCTGAGCTCCCAGGATCATTTTCTGCCTCTGACTAATTAGTTTTGTTGTTTGCCGTGCAATGACAAGATGTCGAGGTTTGGCAGGATTGGAAATGTGAATGCAATGTCATGATCCTGCGAACTAAACGTCGCATGAGTCAGTCTTCGTTTGCATTTACATTAAGATGAAGTGATTTGCAGCAAACAAGTGAGCTACTGTTTAGCTTACGGCTGTCATTTGCAAAAAGACACGTGAAAGTTTGACATAATCCGTGATATTTGATGATTACCATATTTGAATGGAGTTAACATGGCACTCCCGAGTGCTTCAGTTGTATTACAATGGTACCTGTCCAAAATCGTGGTATTTCCATGGTAACGAGGTCAGAAATTAATTAGGGTAAAAAAGCCCAGGAATTCAAATTGTTTGTAATATCTGATTATTTCATGTGTCTTATATTTTAAATATTCTATTCTAGACCTAGTTAAATATTTGTTTCGTAACAACAACAACAAAAAAACGTGAGATTCACTCATTTAGAATTTGTCAATGAATGGATGAGATATCTGGCAAAAGGATGGCACTATAGTTTATAGGGTTAGAACAAGTATACCCAAAAAATCTGATTTTATGGGGACAAATATTTAACTATAATAAAAGTACATTTTTGACACCGTGGTGCAAAAAGAAGAAAAAAAGTATGACCATTGTGCATTTTACAATATATATTGCAAGCTATACTAATACTGATTGTATTGTATTTTATTGCAGTATATTTTACGTGTTTAGAAAGAAATATTCCTGAAAATCTAATTTCAAATATTTCACCATAAAAAAAAAACCAAATAATTTCAGACAATATAGTAATTTTTAAAGATTATATTGCAAGCTATTTTATATTCAGCTCCACTTTTTTTTTTTACCAAGTGATGGAATTATTTTATTTATTTGAAGTTATTTGTCATACACTCTAAAAAATGCTGGGTTGTTTCAGCCCAACTTTGGGTCAAATGTGGACTAACCCAACCGTTGGGTTACATTTTTACATTACATTTTTTAACCCAAAAGTTGGGTTACTCCATATTTGACCCACAGTTGGGTTGAAACAACCCAGCATTTTTAAAGAGCTATTTGCTTAATGGAGCATGCTAGTGATCATGTTTGTGTCCTGCCACTCTATTTCAGATTGTAGCTTCACCCTCTCAGAGACAGTGAGACTGTGTACCTTGCTTTTGGCCTCTTAGTTTTCCCCCGGAGTTTCACGCATACATTTCTCTCATTGGATATATTCTTCCACTCCATTGAGGAACCATCACAAGGTATGCCTGTTGGTTTTTCATATCGACTCCCAAATCTGTTCTTTTTGTAGATACTGTGATTTATGTATGGATCCCAGACCCTCACAGACACCCACGTCCCGTACGGCCGGGGTCTGGTGTTCTCCTTATGAGATTAAGGGACGTTGAGCCATTCGTCTAGGCCCGGAAGATGAGTGGTGTGTTCTGGTTGGGAAATGAAAGGCCTTGTGTTTGACTAAACACGGCGCTGACTCCTGCTGAAATCTGAGCTCCCAGGATCATTTTCTGCCTCTGACTAATTAGTTTTGTTGTTTGCCGTGCAATGACAAGATGTCGAGGTTTGGCAGGATTGGAAATGTGAATGCAATGTCATGATCCTGCGAACTAAACGTCGCATGAGTCAGTCTTCGTTTGCATTTACATTAAGATGAAGTGATTTGCAGCAAACAAGTGAGCTACTGTTTAGCTTACGGCTGTCATTTGCAAAAAGACACGTGAAAGTTTGACATAATCCGTGATATTTGATGATTACCATATTTGAATGGAGTTAACATGGCACTCCAGAGTGCTTCAGTTGTATTACAATGGTACCTGTCCAAAATCGTGGTATTTCCATGGTAACGAGGTCAGAAATTAATTAGGGTAAAAAAGCCCAGGAATTCAAATTGTTTGTAATATCTGATTATTTCATGTGTCTTATATTTTAAATATTCTATTCTAGACCTAGTTAAATATTTGTTTCGTAACAACAACAACAAAAAAACGTGAGATTCACTCATTTAGAATTTGTCAATGAATGGATGAGATATCTGGCAAAAGGATGGCACTATAGTTTATAGGGTTAGAACAAGTATACCCAAAAAATCTGATTTTATGGGGACAAATATTTAACTATAATAAAAGTACATTTTTGACACCGTGGTGCAAAAAGAAGAAAAAAAGTATGACCATTGTGCATTTTACAATATATATTGCAAGCTATACTAATACTGATTGTATTGTATTTTATTGCAGTATATTTTACGTGTTTAGAAAGAAATATTCCTGAAAATCTAATTTCAAATATTTCACCATAAAAAAAAAACCAAATAATTTCAGACAATATAGTAATTTTTAAAGATTATATTGCAAGCTATTTTATATTCAGCTCCACCTTTTTTTTTTACCAAGTGATGGAATTATTTTATTTATTTGAACTTATTTGTCATACACTCTAAAAAATGCTGGGTTGTTTCAGCCCAACTTTGGGTCAAATATGGACTAACCCAACTGTTGGGTTAAATTTTTACATTCAATTTTTAACCCAAAAGTTGGGTTAGTCCATATTTGACCTAAAGTTGGGTTGAAATAACCCAGCATTTTTTAGAGTATAGTAATACTAGTGAACACTAGTTTTGTTTGTTTGTTTGTTGCAGTACAATAATATAGATTTTGTTCATCATTAGTCATCATATTTGAATTCAAATAATTTCATTTAATTATCAGCTATCTGTGTTGGTAGATTCCTTGGAGTTTGCCAAATGTGGTAATACCGAGTTGTCAGAAATGTAAATGCTCACAGCACCTTAAGTGAACAAAGTGTCAACAAAATGAAAGAGATTTGTAAAAATGAAAAGCTGCTGGCTGAACACAGACATGGTAACGAAGCACAGATCTGCGCTGTTTCCAGTCAATTCCTGCCATTTGGCCTTCATTAGACTCGGCTTCTGGGTTTGTGTTGCTGGAGCGGGTGCTCTGTGTTTATCATGGAGCGAATGTCTCACTGAAGACTGTGGAAGAACATAATCTCTTTCATTTAGTGCCTTGTTGCCTGAAGAAGCTCAGTTGGATTTATCATCAACAGCCTAAATCTAGATTTGTATGCTTTGTGTGTATTTGCCTGTGCTAAACTCACTGTCACGATGCCAGGGTTGTTCTGGGTGGTTTTTAGCAGGTTTCTAGGGTGTTTCTGGTGGTTTCTGGGGCATTACCCATAGCATAACATATTCCGTTTCATACTGTAGATGTGACTCAGGTCCTTCCTTCTCTCTAAATGCATGGAGTGTTATGTGTCGAGGTCTAATATTTATATATCAGCAACAGCACTAGTGATCCTCGGCTCCTTAGCAACCGCTACTATTAATTACAGCCAGATCTTCTGCATTACAGCACGTTTGCCGAGCGATGACCTCTGTTACCCGCACCTTTCACTCTCTCCTGCTTTACATCGTTCTGGGTTCAACTGCTGGTAAAAGTGAGAAGATTTGTTTAATTTGAAACAACGTTGTAATGCATAAACATCTGGCAGCAGCAGGGCAGCAGATGAAGACACACAGAGATGTTTTTATGTGTGAAATCATTTGCATAACGCATCCTGTATCTGCTGATGTCTGCCTCACCAGTTTGCTCAGATCTCACACACAAATTCTGGATTTTAAGAAACCGCATTTATTTCGACTGAATCTCGTGACAATTTCACAATGCAAAAATATATATTATATTATGTTATGTTGTTATATTATATGATTATATTTTTATATATTATTTATAATTAAGAATACATTTTTAGTTATTTAATAATTATAATTAGTTATATATTACAATATTACATATTAAATAGCAGCATTTATTAATCTTAGTTCATGTTAATTTACTAATGCATTATTAAAATCACAAGTTTTGTTTGGTAACATTAGTTAATGCACTGTGAACTAACATGAACAAAAAATGAAAGAGTATTTTTTATTAACTAACATTAACGAGGATTAATAAAGAGTGTAATAAATGTAGTGGTCATTGTTCTTTCATGTTATTTAATACATTAACTAATGTTAACAAATGACACCTTATTGTAAATTGTTACCATTAAAAATAATATTATTACTTATTAAAATATTTATTATATATGTTAAAATATATTATTACTTATTCATAATAAAAAAATATTATTTATAAGTAAGGTAATTATTAATTATATTTACTATATATTTATACAAGATTGCATATTTATTTAATACACGACTTTCACAATTTGAGTTGAATTACTGAAATAAATGAACTTTTCCACGACATTCTAATTTATTGAGATGCACCTGTATTATGATAATTTTGTGTCTCTTTCTCCATCTGCAGGTCCACAGTGTCACTGTTTCCATTTTTGGCTCCACTTTGTGTCCTCGCTCACATCACACCTGGCTGAGATCTCCCCGGGTGACCTTTCACCCCTCGTCCCACCATGGCCCTCTCCTCACGCTTAAAACTCTGGGAACAGAAGGGAGGTGCAGGCCTGGAGCTCAACTCAACTAACCCGACTGCTGCTTGACTCACCGTTTATTAACCAGCACCAGTCCACCGTTTAATCACTGTTCTTTCTGAGATGCTTGTAGTCTGGCCTCAGTCTCACAGACCACACACTGACATTAACTTGAATATGAAAGTCAAAAGACTGCCTGCGTCTCTTGAAGTCTCTGTAAAGTAATGCAGGTCACATTGGCAGTGCTGTCTGGCAGCTATTAGACGTACAAGTACAGCTTCTGTAAAAGAGGAAAGACTGAAATCTGTGCTTGTCAATATTACATTTGAACTACATCATCAAATCTAACAACAATAGTATCAAATGTTGCTTCTCTTGTCCTAGGGGAAATAAAACACCTGCAAAGATCAATTAGCAATTTATTTACTAATTTCCTATTACTCAAGTTAGGCCATCATGTTTGTATGCTAGCATTATCTTCATTTTCATTTGGTAGCTGGTAGTTTTATTTGGACAAAGTATATGTCGAATGTATGCTAGATGCATTGTAAAAAATATTTATCAAATTTAAAATATTATTTCATTTTAAACCTTCAAATGAAAAAATATATTATAAAAAGTCCTTAAAGTGGCAAGAAAAAGACTTTTCTTGCCACTTTAAGGACTTTTTATAATATATTTTGAACAATATATATGTGTGTGTGCGCGTGCGTGTGAGAGTATGTATGTATATATAAAAAATGTGTGTGTGTGTATATATATATATATATAT